GCAACGTAAGAGCTGCTGGGAGGGGGAGGAGAGGGCGCGGGCGGGGAGGGGGCACCGGGGCTGGATCGGGCCTGGCGGCTGTGCAGGCCCAAAGTGTGGCCGGGGAGCCCTCAAGAAGGGCCCCAAAGGGAGATGTCCGACAGAGCGGCCAGGGGGGGGGGGCTTTTGCTTCTCCACCGGGAGGTGCCGTTTTGGTACAAGAACAGAGCACCGAGGCCGTAGCACTGTGTAAAGAAACGCCTGGGATCCATTAGAAGTTTAGCAGCATATTTGAGCCTAAATGCTTATTGAGATCAGCGCCATGTCTGAATTTTTGTGAAGCACTTTACGAGCAAGAGAGCTTTTGTACGGCTCTCCTGTTTCCTGAGGAAGAACCAATTTCGAAACGTTGCTACATAATCCGGAGACGACGTTGATGATGTATTTTTACACTAGGATTTTCTTATGATTTGAGGGAATCTGTTCATTGTGTCGTCGTGCTTGTTGACCATAATATACAGAAAGCATCTTCTTTGCACGTCTGGTTGACTGCTTGATCTGTGGGGTCAGACTCCCACGACTGTTTTCTTTACATTTGGTTCTCTAAGAAATACAAGTGGACATGTAAAGTCCTAAAGATAACCTTATTCAAAGTTTGTAGTATAAACAGCTAATGTCTAATAGCTGTTGTAGATTTTTCCGGGCTGCTTGGCCGTGGTCTTGGCACTGTAGGACTTGACGTTATGCCAGTAGCTGTGACCGGCATCCTCAGAGGTATAACAGAGGATTCTCGTTGTCAAGGATGCCAGTCACAGCTACGGGTGAACCGTCAGGTCCTACAATGCCAAGACCACAGCTGGACAGCCCGGAAAATCTACAACTAATGAACTCCAGCCGTGATAGCCTTCGACAACATATTTAACATCTAATACGTTCATACATATTCAATACGGTCCACACAGGACTCTTTAGATGAGTTCCGACTTCCAAATGAAAACTTCAGATGCAGTTCAGCACGTTAGAACCTAGCCAGGCTCTTTTCCCATGCAGCTGAGGTCTTCTCTAGAGCGGCCGGTGGCGACGGATGCCCGGGTTCTCTTCGTTTCAGTTTCCCTTCCTTCAAGCCGCTCTCCAGAAGAACCTGCCGAGTTCACAAAACCTCCTGCGGACTGTTGCACAACAGTCTACAAAACGTCTCGCTGACTTGAAATGCAGGCTTTGGCTATTGCGGTTCCTGTGAGCGTCACTCTGTGGCCGGGCAGCCCCCCTGCCCACCCTGAATGGCAGCCTGGTCTTTATCCTGAGCCGGGTGGCAGCCTGTTTCCGGGCCGCAGCCTCCTCTCTCACACGGCTGCTGATGCCAGTCTGCCCCCCCCCCCCCCCCGCCAGTCTGGTGCAGTGGTGAAGGGCGCGGACTCTAATCTGGGAGAACCGAGTTCGATTCCCCACTCCTCCACTTGCAGCTGCTGGATGACCTTGGGCAAGCCGTAGCTCTGATAAGAGCTGTTCTCTCAGGAGCAGTCCTCGAAAGAGCTCTCTCAGCCCCACCCACCTCACGGGGTGTCTGTTGTGGGCAGGGTATAAATCCAATCTCTTCTTCTTCTTCCCCACTCCTCCACTCGCACCTGCTGGATGACCTTGGGCAAGCCGTAGCTCTGACAAGAGCAGTCCTTGAAAAAAGAGCAGTTCCTGTCAGAGCTCTCAGCCCCGCCTGCCTCCCAGGGTGTCTGTTGTGGGGAGGGGAAGGGAAAGGAGTTTGTAAACCGCTCTGAGACTCCTTTGGGTAGTGACGGGCGGGGCATAAATCCAATCTCTTCTTCTTCCCCACTCCTCCACTTGCAGCTGCTGGATGACCTTGGGCAAGCTGTAGCTCTGATAAGAGCTGTTCTCTCACGGGCAGTCCTCGAGAGAGCTCCCTCAGCCCCGCCTACCTCCCAGGGTGTCTGTTGTGAGGAGGGGAAGGGAAAGGAGTTTGTAAGCTGCTCTGAGACTCCTTTGGGTAGTGAAGGGCCAGAGGGTATGAATCCAGTCTCCTCTTCTCCTTCTTCCACCTAGATCGGCCAGTACCTGATGTCGCTGCCCCTCCACCTGGAGCCCTTCGTGACGCAGGAGGACTCGGCCCTGGAGCTGGCCCTGCACGCCGGGAAGCTCCCCTTTCCTCCGGAGCAAGGTAGGGGCAGGCCCCTCCGTCCTCTCCGGGTCCCAGACCGCCTCTCCCCTCGAGGTCCCCCCTCTGCCTCGCTTGGGGGCTGAGCCTCCTCCTCGGGCAGGAGAGAAGGGTCGGGGGCTGAGGCTGGCCCTCAGGGACAGTGTTCCCTCTGAGCTGAGAGAGTGTGAGCGAGCTCACCATTTTTTTAGCCTCCGGCTCACGCATTTCTGCCTTCGCTCTACCCCGCCCTCCCAGCCAGAGCCGGCTCCAGAGCCAGCTAATTGATGCCGCGGCCCAATCGCTCGCTCACAGCTCTCTTGCCAGTAGGAGATTCTTTGCTCACAAGGCTCCACCGCTTAGAGGGAGCCTTGCCTCAGGGGCGTGTCTGGTCTCCGTGGGCCCCGGGGAGGGTTGCCCACGGCCCAAGCCCCTCCCTGCCGATGCCCTCTTGGCACTGGTGTTGGCGGGGGCCCCTCACGACCTCCCCAGCTGCCTGTCTGGAGTGTGCCTCTGGGGGCTCCAAGGCTTCTCCTTGCAGGGTGGGGTTGTAGGAAGGAGGGTGTGGTTTTGGGGACGGTTCCGCCGCAGCGGCGTCTGCTCCTTCGGAGCTCGGGCCTGATTTCCCCTCCTGGAGAAGGAGAAGAGATTGGATTTATACCCCCTGGCCCTTCACTTGGAGTCTCAGAGTGGCTTACAAACTCCTTTCCCTTCCCCTCCCCACAATAGACAGACACCCTGTGAGGTGGGTGGGGCTGAGAGAGCTCTGGCAGAAACTGCTCTTTTTCAAGGACAGCTGTGCCAGAGCTTGTGACTGACCCAAGGTCACATCAGCAGGTGCAAGTGGAGGAGTGGGGAATCAAACCCGGTTCTCCCAGATTAGCGTCTGCGCTCCTCGCCACTACACCAAACTGGCTCTGCGGGGCCTGGCCCCCTAGCGTTTCTTCCGGGTCCCCTCCCCCCCCCCCAAATTGAATGAATGTGATTAACTTTGATCTAATTCGCTGAGGGCCCCCCCCCCCAAAAAAATCCCTAGCTATGGGGCTGGTCCGAGCCGTGCTCTCTCTCTCTCTCTCCTCCACCCCCCCCCCAGGGGACGAGGTTCCGGAGCTGGACAACATGGCCGACTACTGGCTGGGCTCCCTGGCCAGGGCCACCATGCAGACCTACTGCGAGGTCATCCTGCAGATCCCGGAACTGAGCCCCCACGCCTCCAAGCAGCTGGCCACAGACATCGGTGAGCCCAGAGGCGGGAGGGGGGGCTGCGGCGGCAGGTTCTGTCCCGCTCCCGGCCCCCTTCCTCCTAGGGGCAAGGGGGGCGGTGGGCATGCCCATGGTGGCTTCCCTGGCTGAGTCTCTCTCTCTCTCTGTGTCCCCCCCCCCCCCCCCACTACCTGGTCAACGTCCTGGACGCCCTGGGCCTGCAGCCCTCCAAGGCCCTGCAGCACACGCGGCTCCTCCTGAAGGCCAAGCCGGAGGACTACAAGCAGGCCTCCCGGCCCGTGCCCCGACGCCTGGCCAGCAGCATCGCCGCCATGCGGGGCCTGGAGCCCTGAGGCGGAACTCGGAAAGGGGGGGGGAGAGGGCGGACTCCAAGGGCCCCCCTTCACACGGAGACCCTCCCGCCTGTGTGTTTGTGTGTATGGGGGGGCTGTCAAATGGAAGTAGCAGAGAGCTCAATAAA